TGATGAACCCATACTCTTTGGACATTGGACAGACACTGACGAACAACACCTTACATGCTCCCTGGATTGGTACACTGGGGCTGAAAAGGACCTGGATAATGATTGATAATTTCTTTTTCTTTGTAAGGAATCAAAAATACGACCTGTACAAAATGTACTTGACTCCAGTCGTGATACATATCTTCTGATATGATATATATATATATGATATCTGAATGATGATAAATAACATAAATATTCTCACAGTGGACTGTTTTCATTTTAAATAAAGAATAAGATGGAGCCTCTGTTGTAGGCACAGGCTTTTATCTGAAACAATATGTCTGTAAATGTCAAGGTAAGACTAACTAACTGTAGCTGCTAATTTTAAGTTTCATCTGAAAGGATGCTTCACTTCTGACAGCAGGCAGACATTTTGCAGCTTTTACCCCATGAGGATAACACATCAGTGATTAAATCAAACAAATAACTGTTCTCCTTTTAAGGCACTGGGGAGCACGGGATATCAGTGCCTCCACCAGAGGACCTTGTCGGCATCTTCCACATCCACAGCCAAGATCACTTGCTTTATTGCTGCTGTCATCTTACCTACATTTGGGATACCTCCTATACTGCTTGGGGCAGCTGCTGCATCCACAGGTACGAACAGTTTCTACATATTTGGGTAAACTGGGGAAACAAAAAAGAATGTCATTATGCACCTGTAATCATGAAAGAACAATGCCTGTAAATCCCTGTAAAGAGTTAAGTCACAGAAACTAAGAAACACTCACATCTTAACTTTGCATAACTTGCTCATCAAGCCTGAGGCATTTAGTAATTAGACACAGCAAATGTTGGGTTTTGAAACCCAGGTTGTACAATTACCATTTGAAATTAAGGGCTGGGTGCTGTAAACATCTCCTGTAATTTACATAAAAGTGGAATAGTGGGAGTGGAGATAACAACATTTCTAATGGATCACCATATCACACTGCTGCTTTCATCATTAAGCAGGGTTCCTACACAAGTATGGAAAGTATGGACAAGTATGGAAATAAATTTGATCAATTTCCAGGTATTAAAAAGTATGGAAAATGAAAAATAAAATATGGAAAAATATGTTTTCAGACAATTACCACTGTTCTAAAATATTGTTTTCTAAAATAGAAAATTAGGTATTTCCAAAAATAATTTAATCAATCCGGATCGTGTTTTATACCGGGCCAAGCAAAGTTTGTGTGAGAGCAAACGTCTCAGAAAACATACCGCCCCTTTTACCTGATTGACAAGTGGTATGTCTAGTCCGCTGCCCCATGATCCTCCTCCAGCCCCCCAGGTATCAAGTTTCACTCCAACACTGCACCTTCGACAAGAAGACGAGTTTCACGTGGTTCACAATGTGTAGATGCAAGTTTTTGGATGGATGGTTGGCCAAGGAGTCCCAATTCACACACAGAGCTAGATGCAAGCTTTGTGTGAAATCGTTTGACATCGTCAACATGGGGGAGAAGGTGATTCTGAGCCACATGAAAGGAAAAAACACCGACATCTCGTTACTGCTTCGCTTGCACCCAGAGTCCCAACCTTTTTGCCTCAGCCCAGACATTGAACTTACCTGAGTTTTTATTTCCATGCCATTATGGTACTTGGCTACAATCGCCTATTAAGAATAATTAAATATGATGTGAAATATGATACACTGATATATTTACTCAGATGTCGCATATTCTCTGAAAAAAAAAAAAACAACAATGCAGAGAAGTCTGGAAATTAGGGTATGGAAAAGTATGGAATTTTGAAATTCCAAATGTGTAGGAACCCTGATTAAGCCAGATGCCAAAATATTTCTGTTCCACAATCTTCCAAATATTGAACCATTTATTCATTTATTTATTTGTATCCCCATTAGCCACAACCAGGGTAGCAACTACTCTTCCTGGAGTCCACACAATTAAACATTACGTAATAATAAAAAACTAAAAATCCTAGGAAAGGACAACAAAAGAAAACAAAACAATGAATCCACAACAAGAGAACTACTAATGCCAATAATTACAACAATGACAACAAGTACCGTCACTTTCTCTAAATAGTCAGTAAAACATTTGCTACAGCTCAAATGATATGCAAATTGATGTAATCTATATCTATGGATGACAAAACAGTGAATTTGTTGTTTTTGCATGAGGCTTAAAAAAGAGTTACACCTTCTAAATGTCTAAATAGACAGAATCAGCAACACAATATAAAATATTATTTTCTATATGAAGATTCATTTCAAGCACAAGAGAGACAAAACAGTAGGTCAATTGTAAAAAGAAGAGGGCCCAAGGTGGATCCCTGTGGCACACCCTTGGTATCAGCAAGAATATACAAGTTATTAGCATCCATATTTCTCCATACTTCTCATCACGGATTGCTTACTTTACAACTTAGTATGTACAGTAGGGACTTCTCAAAATCCCTCAAACAAATAATGTAACCATTTTTCAGTGTTTACTTTTTTTGTGTCCATGCCTCAGACTGGAACTTGACCTCCTATGGTTCTCCATCTCCATATGAACGTGGGGAATCAGTTCTAGTTCTTCCCATCACCCTGCAGCACCTCGCCCCATGGTTCGTCTCCATTATTGGTACTGGATGTGTGGCTGCTGCCGTGATGTCATCGGTTGACTCTGCGCTGCTTTCTGCATCTTCTTTGTTCACCTCAAACATATACAAGAACATTCTCAGGCCTCAGGTATAAAAAATACATATGTTCTTTCAGTTTGGTACATCACATCAAAGAAATTTTTGATATATTGTTCACGTTTGATGTTTATTTTGAAAGAAAGGGAATGGAATGCAAGGGAGTATAAATGGAATAAAGTGGCATGAGACAGAACCAAACTGGAAAGAGTTTATAAGATAAAGAAGCAGTGAGAGACATTAAAACAGAACAGTCTTCATCATTTGTTGTTAATCTGTTTTTCTTCCTCTCTACTTTCTTCTTCAGGCATCAGACAGAGAGAGTCAGTGGGTGATCCGTGCGTCTGTGTTGGTAGTGGGCTTGGTTGGTACGTTACTGTCCAACCTGAAAAACAGCATGTTGGTGTTCTGGTTCACTGGTGCTGAATTGGCCTACATCGTAATCTTCCCTCAACTTGTCTGCATCCTCTTCTTCAACATCTCAAATGGTTATGGGGCTATGATGGGTTTGCTGGTGGGATGTGTGTTGAGACTGCTCAGTGGAGAGCCCTCACTAGGATTACCACCGGTCATACACTTCCCAGGATGCACTCTTGAGGACGGTGTTTATGTCCAGTACTCTCCAGTGAAGACCATCTCCATGCTGTCTGCCACTGCTGCCATCTTGTTGTTCTCCTATCTGGTTTCTGTGCTCTTCAACAAAGGACTGCTTCCTGAGAAGTGGGATGTGTTCAAAGTGAAAGCTCAGCAGTCACCACAACCACTGACACCAACAGATGCAGCCACAGAACATACTGAGAAGGAGAAATTGAATAGAAAAAACTTTCAAACTTTGGCATCAGAGCCACTGACTAGCACAAGCTTTTAGTTTCTTTTTGTACAGTCGTATGTTTTCTTGAAGCATAAAATACTGTGCACTAAATACTACTATATTGCTCATAGAACTCCAAAATAAAAAATTTTTGCACTCCTAAAATGATCCCTCTTTTTCTTAGTAGCTTTTGAGATGTACATTCATTTGATATGCACATTATGTTTTTTTAAGGTCTAAGAAAGGTTTAACACTTTTTTTCTTTCTTTAAAGCCCTTACAAGGAACTTTCATTTTGAGTTGATTTTGGCGACCCAGTGGACAAAAGCAGTAGTGTTTTGCCGGAATGAAGCCTACATTTCCCATGAGCTCTAGCGTGTATTGTCATAAAGAAGCTTATCTGGCTCGCGCATGTGTTTGTTTTGGGGATGAATGAAACAACAAGACGGGAAAACTTTGCCCCCGCTCCTATCGGGGATCCCAGCTCACCTCTGCCACGCCCCAGGTTCACCTCTCTGGCGTAAGCGCCACTGCCGCCAGGGTAAACGCAGCGGTCGGCTGGTAAGGCTGAAGGCCTGTTTGGCGAGCACTTCCATGGCTTCTTGGACTGAGTATGGAGCGGTGCCTCGCCTCTTTATTTTTTGGCACTCGCTGGACCCTGTCGACGCCTGGCTGGTACCTGTCTTTGGCCCGGATGAGGTGTTCCAGCCCCGTGGCCCCTGCTCTCCTCGTCCCCACTGGCATGGGGTGAATCTGCGCAACCTGTGGCCTCTGTGTGTGGCTCTCCGGACAGCTAACGCCGTGGACCTGCCGGCTCCTGCCAAGATTGGGCTGGTAAATGCTAGATCGCTAGCGAACAAAACGTTTATCCTGAAGGATTTCCTGACTTCCTGAGGATTGGATTTTCTCTGTGTGACTGAGATGTGGCTGACTGTTGGTGAGTCCAGTGCTTTCACAGAACTTTTACCCGATGATTGCTGCTATTTTAACTCCCCGCGGATGTCGGGTCGAGGAGGAGGAATAGCGACTATTTATAAGAGTCACTAAATGTAAGCAGCAAGGTAAGATGACGTGTGCCGTCTGAGTGCCGTAAATCGCTTTGTCCTGGAAGCGACCTGGGATGGACCCGGAGACAGTTTCCTAAAGGTATGGAAATACACTATATAGAAATAGCTTATCTTCACACCTCATTTGCTGTTGTAGGTCACACACAGACATCAGCAGAAACGAGAGACTTTTGCATATCCAGTTAAAAGTTCCTTGTAGTGGCTTAAAAAAAAAAAAAAAAA